AAGCCCAAGGGCCAGATGGTAAATTACCCATGAGTACTTAAGGAGCTAATTAGTGCACCTCTGTTTTTAATCTTTCGGGATTCTTTTCTCTCAGGAATTGATCCAGCGGGTTTGAGAAAGGTAGACGTGGTTCCTTTATTCAAGTGGGTACAAAATCTTTTCCCAGAAATTATAGTCCTGTGAGCTAAACTTCTGGGGCTGAGACATTATTTGAATGCATATTAACCCCTTAAAACCGGAGGACGTACAATTACGCCCTCTAATAGGCGGTGTGTGTTTAACGCTCATGTAATTGTAATGCCTCCGGCTTTTAAGCATCCATCTGCCGCCAAGTGTCCTTCATGAATGCGGGTTGGGGTGGTACTCCTAGGACTTCAAGGCACGCCCGTCCTTTCACAGCTCTTCAAGCCATAGAGAGTGGGGTCCTAGCGAGGACCCCACAATCACATGGCCGGGGATAGCTGGCTTCTGTATTGCCGGCAGGGGGGCTGCCTGTAATGACAGGTGGTCCCCCTGCTGGCTGAAAATAAAATTAAAAAAAGTTAATCAGTGTAAAAAATAAATAATATATACTTAGATCATATGTATATGTTATATACATATGATCTAAGTATATATATACACATATACATAGACACACATACACCGTCTAGGTGTATTTTACTATTAATATATATATAATTATATATATATATTAATATCAAATTACACGTAGACTGATACTGATTAAATATATATATAATTATTGTTATATATATATTTATATATAATATAAAAAAAATAAAAATATAAATACGTTAAAAAATAAAATTAAAAAAATAATTAAAAATAAATAATTAAAAAATATATAGATGTGTGTTATTTCGTTCTAACTGTATTGTGAAATTATATATATATATATATATCAAAATACATGTAGAACAAAATAATATATATATCTATATACATAAATATATACGTATATATCACTATATATATACCTATATATAAATAAAAATATTTTATATAGATATATACATATATATATACACATACGTATATATATACATATATTAATTCTACATATATATTTATGTAATATTTTTACATAATTAGGTATCTTAATTGTTACAAAAGACTGGAAATCACTATGTTGCTGTTTTTACTCACTGATTGATACTGTTTGCCACTGCATAAGTTAAACAGAAAACCACACGAATGGATTACACGAACCCTTATGGAGGCTCCATTCGTGGTACGAACGGGGGACCCCCCAGAAACTGGCGTGTGCTGCCACTTAACCCCGTCACCCCGCAAACTACCGAACGGGCGACCCCCCCGGCTCGCGGAGTGTGGTAGCCATTAACCACCCAGATGGCTGCGGTTTGCGGTTAACCACAATGTAATCGTTATGCCTGGGGGCATCGACGCTCGCACCCAAAGTACCGAAGGGAAAAGACCGAACGATCCACCGAACGACGACCCCCTACAGCGGGTCGCGTGGCGCTCATTAACTGTGGTTTCTGCGGTTAACCACAGGTCAAGTACCCTGCTCCCAGGTGGCCCTCATTCCCTTACCGAACGAGCCCACTACCAGACCGACAGCGGGACTTCGCAGGAACTGATACCGAGTTTAGTTCCACGAGTTAGACACGAAGTCCCGCTGCTCGCTAAACCAGCAGAAAACATGGCCGCCAACAAAGACTAACCATCTCATAATGCCGAACGGACTTTATACGGCAGAAACAGTACATTCTGTTCGTGGGATTAGAGCGGCATTCGCCTGGTTTATCTATACGAACGTGAGCCTTAAAATGAATGGTGGAATGAATGGTTTTCCTGTAATAATGTACAAGTTATGGATTTTTATGTAGTTTTCTGGGGCATAATAAAACGTGGTCTTTTGTGCGCTTGGAGATAATTAGATTGTAAAACCGTTGGCCTCATTATCTCCAAGCTGGGCGGGTACTATTTCAAATGATACAGTATACTGTGATTGGTTACCTGTTTGTACTGTACCTGTATTCCATCAGGTCCACAGGGGGCTGTCCTTGGACCTGAGGAATCACATAAATTGCCATGCTATGTGCCAGTAAAGCCAGTTCGTTTTGACCCTCAACTTGCAGCCTCGACTCATGTTGTAGGGATCCGGGATATTGATGTTTAGATCGTGCTTGGGGATATTCTACACTTACAGCTGATTACCGACAGACCTCCGTTCGACTCTCTGCAGCGGGAACCAGGACAACCAAGCGATCAACCCTCCTGCTAGACCGGGGGCAATCGTAACAATTGGTGGCAGCGGCGGGATCATCCTGGAATTCCTAAAGAGAGATATCTAGGACGGATGGAGAGTAACTACGACAAACTAAAGCGTACCACGTTAAAGGATTTACTCGAGAGCCGTGGAGGGAACGCAAGTAACCGGCCGAGGAGAGAATTGATTGCCGACCTTAACGAGTTGGATCAAAGCTTCACAATGGCAGAACCAACGGCAACATGCAGCGATGAGAAGACCAGGATCATCCGAGAAAGGCTGCCTCTGTACGGACCAAACCCATCCGTGGAGCTGATACAGCAACTAATGGCCGAAGCCGAGGCGGACGTACAGCGGACTAGAGCCCACGAGCTGAGCATGAAGACCGCTGATAGCCACAACGGCCCCCTGGAAACTACCGAACAGCCAAAGATCCCGTTCGCGGCATTCAAACCGTTCGCGGAGAATGAGATGGGGATAGACGAATTTTTGGCCGATTTTGAAAGACAATGTGCCCTGCATCAGATCCCCGTCACAGCGTGGCCGCGTATCCTTGCAGGAAAATTAACCGGGCGGGCCATGGAAGCCTTCAGAACCCTCAGCGCCGAAGAGGTAGCCCAATACGCCACAGTCAAAGAGACGCTGCTGAAACGGTACGCTGTGACCCCAGACACCTACCGAAGGCAGTTCCGCAGCACGAAGAAAAAAGCGAATGATACCCATGCCGAATGGGCACATCGTATGCGGAGAGCTGCAACCCATTGGATTACCGGGTGTCGGGCCGTCACGGCCGCCGAAATATTGGAACTTTTCTTATTAGAGCATTTTTATGAGGGTCTGGAACAAAAAGACCGGGAGTGGTTGAAAGACCGGCGTCCCGCTAACCTACACGAAGCAGCCCGGTTGGCAGACGAGCACCGGGATGCGCAAGTACAGGAGTTCAACAATGCCCGAACGGTAACTCGCCCCGAAGCAAGAGAGGGATACCAATCAACTCCACGAACGGAGTTTCGCAACCCTGTACCCGCAGGTCCTACACGGTACATGGGACCACCCAGCCACTACCCTCAGGAACGGCCCCGACCCACATGTTATAAGTGCAAGCAGCCGGGGCACCTGATAGCGAGTTGCCCCCTTAACAACAATTACCCCGCACGGAACTATAATTCTTCTCCAACGGGAAACAATCGTGCAGCTCGAGCGTTTTGCCTGGAACAAGACAGTCCTCTAGAAGAATACCTGGGACCCCTACATGAAGCGAATCCTGTGTATGCCGCCAGCGACAATAGACAACACCACCGGCAAGAGGTACTACTGGAGGGGCGTCCCACACAGGGGTTAAGAGATACCGGGCCACGATCACCTTGGTGCAAAGCCGGTTAGTCCCCGACTACAAACGCTCGCCTGACACAGTGGCTGTCCGGGTGGCTGGAGGGGACATATACAAACTACCCACGGCAAAGGTACACTTGGATTGGGGTGCGGGAAAAGGACTTGTGAGGGTGGGAATTATGGATAATTTGCCAGCCGAGGTTTTGCTGGGAAACGACCTGGGACCTATGACTTCAGCTTATGCCCCGTCCTACAATGCTGAGGCACATCCTGTGACGACCCGGTCACAAGCTGGACGAGCCCGAGACCCTTCACCAGTGCGGGAGACGCAGGTAAGACTTAACCCGACTATGACCCCCCCTCCTACCCCGTTGCCCTGGGACACCTCTGCAGCCTTCGAGGCTGAGACCAAAACTGATCCGACGCTCCAAAAATATAGGGAACGAGCCGACACCGGGGCTGGGGGAACAGACCAGGAGACTTTTGCATGGGAACAGGGTTGACTGTACCGACACACAGAGAAAAAAGGGCACCGAAGGAGACAGTTAGTGATACCCCACAAGTATAGGCGGGATATCCTCCGGGTGGGTCATGATATTCCCTTAGCCGGGCACTTGGCAGTAACACGTACCCTACACCGTATTACCCATACCTTGTTCTGGCCAGGAGTACATGCCGATGTAAGGTCCTACTGTAATACGTGTGAGGTGTGCCAACGGGTAGGCAAACGAGGAGACCACCCCAAGGCACATCTCGTGAACATGCCCATTATCGACGAGCCATTTAGCCGGGTAGCCATCGACTTAATTGGGCCCCTGGCCACCCCTAGTCCCTCTGGCAAGAGATACATCCTTACCATAGTGGATTACGCTACACGCTACCCAGAAGCGGTGGCTTTATCCAATATCCAGGCAGACACAGTGGCTAATGCCTTAGTACAGGTATTCTCTCGGGTAGGATTCCCTAGGGAGATTTTATCCGACAGAGGCTCACAGTTCACGGCAGAGCTGACCCAGCAGCTCTGGCACGTTTGCAAAATTAAATCCCTGCTTAGCTCCCCATACCACCCCCAGACCAATGGGTTATGTGAGCGGTTCAACGGAACCCTCAAGCAGATGTTAAAAACCTTTACTCAGGAGTATAGGGACTGGGAACGCTTCCTGCCGCACCTCCTGTTCGCTTACCGGGAAGTGCCCCAGGAAACCACCGGGTTCTCCCCCTTCGAGCTGTTATACGGTCGCAAGGTACGGGGTCCCCTGAACTTGATCCGTGAGCACTGGGAGGGAGAGACAGAGAACGCTGGGGTCCCCATCG